CTATATCGGCTATATTCACTGGCGTTGCTGTATGAAAGATTGTACAGCAACTATCAATACAGCAAACAACATCATCACCACATACCGCAACAGCCACAACCACCCAGGTGACTGTCAAGACGTCGTAATTCAAGACTTTCTAGCAAATTTGAAAACGAAAGTCCGAGCAGACAGCAAACCAATCCCTGCACTCTACCAGGAGGAACTAACTGGTAAGTTTATGAGTATCATATACTTGATAATTTATCAATATAATTACTTTACAAAATAAATTCCTTACCTAATATTATTATCAATTTTTATAGTTATATTTCATTGTTTTTCTTCAGGTCTACGTTCCTCAGAAAATGACGACCTCATCAGCAGAGTACCGACGTAGTGTTCAAGCCAGCCTGTACAGGTCCAGGGCCAAATAATTAATTTAATTTCTGACTTTAAGTTTATATATTTTGTATGTATGAACACATGTATGATTTATGATGTATGCTGTATGTACATGAGAAATAAAATAACGAAAGTCATGTTGCCCTCTTTTAAATCCTTTTTTAATCCTCATAATCCCTCTATTGTACACTTGTCAGTAATGGTTGGGTAATTTTTAACCCAGAACAATAGGTGCCGGCAAACCGAGGCGAACCCATATATACGGCGGTCGGTGGTAGCAAACTTCACTCTACCTCCACCGAATAAACGCCATCAACTCAGCAGCCTTCTCTGTAAGACACTATTGACTTAAATGTTAACTTATTCCGTCAGCTACGATCGTAATACGTTAGGTGTAGGTTAGATCTATTTCGACTATATCGTAGCGTTAACATTGACTTAATATCCAGACAATACTTCCTCTCGCGAATGCATATTTTTGTATATTAGCATACTAGTTGCACGGCAACATCCCAATATGAGTATGTGTACCAATGTCAATAACTTGTACGTTCCTACATTCAGTGACACATACTCATAACAATGATTGCCTGCAACTTAGTAGCAATGAAAACTGAGTCGGCCAACATTATATTATATTGTCTGTGATAACAGTATGTTGTTAAATATCCACGCATGACAGCGTGAGCCCATGTACTGTTATCTACCAGACATATTTTCTCGTAATAAATACCTTTTCATAACCATCTGTTAAACCTTAAAATCAATATATTGTACATCTATACAGTCATGTCATTATTACAATATATTGTACATCTATGCAGTCATGTCATTATCTGTTGTATGCCGATTAGTATACGATTATATGAATGTGACTCTACCTCTGAACACGTGTTGCACACGTATCATATTATCTTGTTATTATAATTAAATGTACTTGACTCTACTTCCAGCGAATAAACGCTATCAACTCAGCAGCCTTCTCTGTACTTCAAGGTGATAGCCAGTCGCGACCGCTCTACTACCGCTAATTCCCCCGATTAAGTAGTGACACCCAAAGGACGTCTACGTCACCCAAAAGACACGCTACGTCATTAGTATACGTCAACATCAACATCGTTGCACATATTTGTTTTTTTCTTTGAGGTACGGGTGAACTAGTACACAACGCATTCAGTTCATGAAGTAGTTTACTGTTTCAATCTTGAATTATAATTTGAATATCTCTTCAATACCTTTTCACCCAGTAAAATAATGCACTGCTGCAAAATGGGTACATGTATGTAGTACTGTTACTAATATAATCTAACATGCCATGGAATTTATGAAACTTTTAATAATCAGCTGTTTGTTTGAACATAGAAATTGATATTCGTTGTGTTATTCTTCCTATATAATATGCCTTGTGAATGTCACATACTGCAGCATATACATATTTCCTTTGGAGAGTTGTGAAATATTCATTGTGGCAAATGTACTAGTATATAGATAGGTTGAATAAAACATGCACTTCATTTCTTAAATCAAAGTAAATGTATACCTGAAGGAAATTCGTCACGTTATATTTTTTTATTAATGTATAATTCATGTGTGGACAACTATTTGTTTTACATTTGGATTTTATCGTTTAATTGGCGGAACATTGACAGCTAAAGATTAAGCTAAGCTATCAGGAGCGCGTTTCAAAATAGAGGCCGACCATTTGAGATTCATGGGCGGGGGCGGGTCATGGTCTGTTGGGGTTTTGGTGTGCGTTGGTGGGTGGGGTTGGGATGTGGTGTTATTGCACGTACTAGAGAATGGCCGGTTGGCCACTGAAGTTTAACAATGTGGATGAGGTTGATACTACAGACTAACCAGAGAGGTATCGTATTGTAAAAATAGCGACGTGGGATGGATACACTCTATTGTCAGACAGTGGACAATCATTACTAGGCATAAGTGTCATTTCAGAGAAACACAAATGTATTCGAAGGGTCTTAGGAACATGAGATATTGAAAATAAGTTTTGTGATATACTTAAGGCACTTGATAAATACACGAGAATTGACGCAAAGCTTTGCCCTGAAACGTGGCGTTTATTAAATAGTTGTGTTATAGATGGCTGAACAAAGAACAAGGTAGGCAAGGTCGAAATAAATTAAGGCCTTTCATTTTAGCATTATTGTTGCGCCGAAATGTAAATTTATGTTTTAAAGCAAGTTCCCTTTCCTATTGATCAGATTTGGCATAATTTAGATGAAGTGTGACTTCTACATGTAGACGGATATAGATTGGCAGATATCGGAATACCGGTTGTAGGGCATGAGAGAATCTGTTATAATTGTTTCGATGAGAATGAACGCCAGGCATATTTTCAAAGAGCGTCGTCATACGACTCTTGCTCAAAAGTTCTTTGATCAAGGTTACATCATCCAAGGCCCCAGTAAAGCTTTCAGAAAGTTTTATGGAGGACATTTCCAAATTTGACGCATAGGTGACAAAAATTATGTCCGATGCAGTTCCCTATTTTGCCCACATGTTCCCTGCTTTTAGCAGAGACTTCTTGTGGCTATGGAAATGGATTTGCCTTTATATTTTATACATCTACTGTTTTACTGCGTTTTATATGATGACATAAGGGATGATCATTTCATGAAATGTGTTTATAAATAGCTATATTTTATGAGTTTTCCATAAACGAAAAGACAAGTATGAACACAAGTCAAACAGTGTTTCTAAATGTTAAACACGTGTCATATATTGGCCAAAATCTCCTTTATACTGCTCAATCGGCCAAAGTATCTTTTATATACATACTGGTTCATGATGTGACTTTAACCATGTCTTTAAAACTGTCTCTCATAATTCATTTTTAACGGCTTTGTACATTTTACAAGTATACATACATTATTCATTATGATCACATGTTGAGACGTAAATGGTAGGACTGTGAACATTGGGAAGGGATCCTATAATATTCCTTCGTCAACTGAGTTGGTCGGCCTGCACTTCCTGTCTCCTGAGCTCAACACTACATATGTTGTTGTTGCTGTAAGTGTTCCTGCACTTCCTGTCTCCTGAGCTCAACACTACATATGTTGTTGTTGCTGTAAGTGTTCCTGCACTTCCTGTCTCCTGAGCTCAACACTACATATGTTGTTGTTGCTGTAAGTGTTCCTGCACTTCCTGTCTCCTGAGCTCAACACTACATATTTTGTTGTTGCTGTAAGTGTTCCTGCACTTCCTGTCTCCTGAGCTCAACACTACATATGTTGTTGTTGCTGTGAGTGTTCCTGCACTTCCTGTCTCCTGCGCTCAACACTACATATGTTGTTGTTGCTGTAAGTGTTTCTGCACTTCCTGTCTCCTGAGCTCAACACTACATATGTTGTTGTTGCTGTGAGTGTTCCTGCACTTCCTGTCTCCTGAGCTCAACACTACATATGTTGTTGTTGCTGTAGTGTTCCTGCACTTCCTGTCTCCTGAGCTCAACACTACATATGTTGTTGTTGCTGTAAGTGTTTCTGCACTTCCTGTCTCCTGAGCTCAACACTACATATGTTGTTGTTGCTGTGAGTGTTCCTGCACTTCCTGTCTCCTGAGCTCAACACTACATATGTTGTTGTTGCTGTAAGTGTTCCTGCACTTCCTGTCTCCTGAGCTCAACACTACATATGTTGTTGTTGCTGTAAGTGTTTCTGCACTTCCTGTCTCCTGAGCTCAACACTACATATTTTGTTGTTGCTGTCAGTGTTCCTGCACTTCCTGTCTCCTGAGCTCAACACTACATATGTTGTTGTTGCTGTGAGTGTTCCTGCACTTCCTGTCTCCTGAGCTCAACACTACATATGTTGTTGTTGCTGTGAGTGTTCCTGCACTTCCTGTCTCCTGAGCTCAACACTACATATGTTGTTGTTGCTGTAAGCGTTTAAGAGGCCGCCTCCTAACTTAACAATTTTGCCATGACCTGTCCCTCTTTGGGACGCAAGTGTGTGAGTAGGGTACACATATCTTGGAAACAAAACGACGCCCCAGATAAGATCCGTTTCTTTACACTCTTATAACCCAGCTCCCGGAGAGATTCATTTTGTATGAATAAATGTCAAGTGTAACCCAAGTCATACACAATTTATAATGTCTGTATTTAAAATGTTTACAGTCGCTTAGAATAAGTGTTATAAAAATACTTGCTTGGGTGTATGGGTGTGGTGTGTTGGCAATACATTTTGTGCAGAAAACACGGTAGAAATCGTGTAGAAACGAAGTTGCTGTCATATATTTGAGTGGATTACAACGAAAAACATCTGTTTCAGTAAAGGCAGGGCGGGACAACTTAGGAATGGCCAGGAGTCCGAACTTGACCACACAGAAGGAAGCGAGCTACAAAATCATGTTTTATATCATTGGAAAGCTCTCGAGGAGTCGAATCCAAATAATGTGTGTCCCAGTGTGTTCACATGTTCATAAGCTCAAAAATTGGCTCAGAAAATGCATTACTGCAGAAATTTCTGGCCGAATTTTTTTTTTCTGCAGAAATTTCTGGCAGTATTTTTTTTTTCTACAGAAATTTCTGGCCGAATTTTTTTTTTTCTACAGAAATTTCTGGCCGAATTTTTTTTTTTCTACAGAAATTTCTGGCCGAATTTTTTTTTTTCTACAGAAATTTCTGGCCGAATTTTTTTCTGCAGTAATATTTAGCAGAATTATTTTAATTCAGGAGAAATAAGATTCGATCATTGGATAGTTTAACCTGGAGTTGCTTCAAATGACCTTTTTCCTCAAAACAAACATTTTTAGTTCACATGATTACAAGCAATAAAATAAAACTAATTTCGTGAGATATTTCAAAAAAAATATTTATTCACATGCTATATTACAAGACAATTTCTTGGGAGACTTTGCACTTTTCATTCTCATGAATGAGTCGTATTTTCTTGGGTGAGGTGATTTTTTCAGAGATGGGTCCTGTCACAAAAGAAAATAGATGTATAGATGAGTGGATCCATATTGTCTAATATAATGGATAATGGCAGCCTATACGCAGCTAGAGTTTACAATAGAGCCTGCGGAATAAAATGTATTATGAATGTAAATAGTGTGCTTTACTTACGTTTTCTTCTCAACATACTTGAAATGAATTCTTTTTTTCGTCTGGTCATTGAAAGCTATGTGCACATATTCTGAAAAGATATGAAAAAAACATTAAGATGCTTTTCATTTCAGTAATTAACACATTCCACAAACTTTAGGCACATGAACAAAGTAAGATAAGTGAGGTGAGTTGAAATTGGGTTGAATGTCGCGTCCAAGATAATTGCACTTATATAGCATGTGCGTGCGTGCGTCTGAGTGTGTGTGTGCGTGCGTGCTTGTGCTAGTCGTCTGCATCTTCCGTTTTGTATAGGTCACTCCATAAGTTGTCAGTGACTGCATACTTGTGTAGGGGGCACTCAATGTTCACACTGTCATGAAGCTGAAATTATATAAGGATGAGTATACTGCGAAAATTACATTGGATTAATTCGTTAAAAGAGACTTATGTATCATGTTTGGGAGAGGCATTCAGATAAGCAAAATTTGCTTGTTTGCCAATCCCTCCACTTTATGGAAATAAATATGTTTATATCAAGAGACTTCTAAACCATAACCGAACTCAAAACTAACCCCATGTGTCGTAAATGGGTGCTGTAAGGTAAAGGGAGGGTAAACACGTGTTTCATTGGCAAGGGATACTCAACCCTTATGATCGGAAAGGGGGTCCAAGGACAAAGGAGAGACCAGACCTACTACCCAGAGGGGCCAGCCTGGTACAAGACTTAGTGTAAAGCTAGCCTAGTCTATGTCATCAGCAGCTGGTCACTGCGGCGGAATGTGGTTTTGGCGTTGCTGTTCAAGTTCGAATTTCCGATAGGCCTGTCTCCACTAAAAAAAAATAGATAAATTTTCGGACAGCATAATCTGATGTCAGATCTTAAAAAAGTTCCGAACGACTGTGAAACCATGGTAAGAAGTATTATTATTATTGAAGCAACCTTCCCAAATGTGTGTGCTGCATAAGCCGGAGAGGTTCCCCTTGAATTTCCAAAATATGAATCGACAGACGAAACGAAACATATCCAGTTGGGGGTTATTCTTTTTTAGTTTGGTGGGAAAATGATATGAAACACTGGGGTCTGACTGACTGATATAGGAGATTTAACGTGCGCTTTCCGACTGTAGCGTATTTCGCACACGGGCCTGGCCGGACCATTTATTGTATTCCGAAAAGGGTGAAAGTGATGTGTGCAACCCAAGAGGGGGGTTTTAGGGGTTGCTTATATTGAAGTTTTGGAATTTTTAAATTTGGAATAAATGCCGAGGAGGGTGGAGGAGGGAACTAAGGGAGCCGGGTGAGGTGGGTGTTTGTATGTTTATTGGATTTTGGATTGGTAGAATAATTAGTTTTTAGATGCGCTTAATTAGGTCTGTTTTGATTAGGAATACGCCTAGGGCCTTGAAGTTTTCTGGTATATTTTGAGGGTTTAGTATTTCATCTAGAGTAGGAACCTTATTTAGATTGAGGGTGGTTTGTAGTGTGGTTCTGTGTGTTTGGTAGTGGGTGCAGTGGATGAGTGCGTGGTCTGTGGTTTCGGGTTGTTTGCAGTGGGGGCAGTTGCCTGTGATGTGTCTTTTAAGTTTTTTTAGGTGGTTATTTAGGTTCGTGTGTCCTGTTTGGAGTTTTGTAATAAATCTGTCAATTGTTTTAGAGAGGTGTAGGATTTTAGGTTTTGGCTAGTGGTTTTCTGAGCACTTTTTTGATTTGGCTATTTGAGTTTTGATATTGATTATGCCATTTTATGGTTAATTTTTTGTTTGTTTACACTTTTAATTTCTGATTTTGAGATGGGTAGGTTTAGGCTTATTACTGGTATTTTGAGAGATAATTTAGCTGCTTTATCGGCGCTTTCGTTGCCGTAAATTCCTACGTGGGCGGGGATCCACAAGAAGGTTATTTGTTTGCCTGCTTTTGTTAGGTCGTCGGAGCTTTTAAGTATTTGGTTTATTAATTTAGGTCGTTTTTTTGGTATTTTTGTTTTGGAGGGCTTTTAGTCCACTAAGGGAGTCGGTGAGAGTTAGGATTTTATTGTTGTTTTCAGATTGGGGCTGCCCAAGGACTAAATATATCATACAATTATTGAAATACCGGTATACATTGTGATTGTCGAGTAACCCCCCCCCCCCCCCCCCCCTAAAGTAGCACGCTAAAGGTTTTCAATATATTCGATAACATACTACTTAGATGCGAACTGTTTAATTGACAGCTGTTAATTGGTAACGGTCAAGCCTCAGTGAATTTGCATTGGGAGTGTGTGTGTGAGGGGGCGTCTGAAATAAAGGTGGATTCAGTCGGAATAAAGATAAGATAATGATCTCATAAATTTTATTGAAGGCTTTGAAAGTTTGGGATCGGCGAGACCGTAACACAGAGTAATTAACAAAACGATCACGTGATCGTGGCGCTGATAGACAAAACCCACCGACCACGTGCGCGACAATGTATCACCGTATGAAGTGACAATACCCGAGGATATTTAATTGCCAAGTTGACAGGAAGTCTGGCGGCACGGCACGTACAATATGCGTCGTTTGGGTATTCTATATTGTCTCAGCACCAGCTTTGATGGGGCAATAAGAAAAGATGATATATATGTTTATTTTAGGAAAACATTAATACAACAATTTGTTATATTAATAAACATAGGGTCTATAAAGTTATTTTTATCTAAATATTTCTAACGTTATAAATAATAGAAAACTCGCATGTAAATCATCAAAATACTGCATGGATTGGTATTTTGTAATTTTCCGTGTTTTCACTTTCACAGATCACCACAGGCAAATTCATGGTCACATAGCTACACTACAAGTGTCGCCATACAGCTACAATAAGTTGCCTAATGTACATGTAGACAGTATACAAGTCGCAATAACACCATAGGGGATGGAGATATCTCCTTTTCAGGTTAGATTGTTTGCGTATTTTTTTATCAAAAGTGGTAGAAATAAATACACTAAAATTAGACTCTTACAAATCGCGTTTCGCATGGCAGCAGAGCCACACATTCACTGTTTGGAGTACAGGTTGTTATTTGGTTGTTGTTATATGAAATAACCGTGTTACCAAAATTCCACGTTCTAGGGTCGGCGTTTCCAGAAATAAAACAATAAATATTTTGACGTCTTACCTGTATCGTAACTGCAAGACGGTAACCAGACGCTGTAACTCTGACTGCACGTGGTTCGGGATCTTTGCTGTGGCTGAAATAAAGAGTGCTATGTTTTACAGAAAGAGACCACGTTGCTTGTGCCATTGTTCAAAGACATTGTTCGTAGGTACGATTCTGAATATACACGAATATATACAAGTCACATGACAAAGAAGGTATTTACATGAAAGATATTTCAAATCTCGGTGTTAGAGACCTTGAGAAATGTAGATTTAACTGAATCCAATCCGATTTAGTGTTACTATCATTCATTACAAATGGATAATACGATATTGCATTATAGAGAGGGTAATTATAGCTACCTGAAGGAGCAACCATATGTCCACTCTTTGAAGTTGCCGCCAAACCGGACGCGTTATTGTAACTCGCAAGAACACTGTGTACACAGCTTCTTTCTAAATTTGGAGAAGCGTAAGTGTGGTGAAAGAACAATATGAATGTAAGTCAGGCATGAAGTTGCACGGAGGAACCAACGTGAGACTTTATAATCACATGGGTGTTCATATATGTTGTTTAATGCGTGATAGGTATTACCGCTTAAAAGGTGGTTTTGTATTTATAATAAAAACTGATCGTTTACATTTAACATAGAATATAAAAATAGTTTTGTCTGGGTAGCAACATAACTGTTGCATAGGGTATGTTGTTTAATGATAATACTATATGAAAATTCCTCGAGCCAGCTGACTTACACTATGGATAGTGTACAAGACAACAGTTATAGAACATCACGTGATAAAGTTGATGGAAACGGCAAAATATTTATTTACAATATATGTGTTTCCAGGGGAAGAGCCTGTTACAAAGTCTGTGTCTAAAAAAAAGTAAACTCGCTCCTTGTCGGACAAAACTGAATGTAATTAAGTTAACTACCTATGTACATTATCAGTGGAGTACTTGAATTATATATCAAATTGTAACCCGAGATGCTGGTGCCACACCTTATTACGTGACCACCCAGTGAGGCGTGAACACTCAGGGGCATGATATACACCCTTGTGTTAGATTTGATATACCAATCAGCCGTGGACGCCCGACCATAAAAATGGTATATATAGATTTAACCCTAATCAGGTATCGTTAAATATCGTTAAATCGTCGAGAACGTTCTGTCAGACGATCAAACGATAACTATTCAACAAGTCGGTAAATCACATCGAAAACCCAAGTTCTGGTCGCAGTGAGAAGCTCTGGATACCTTGAGGAGGGTTCACCAGCTCTGCTTCAACAACGTTGACATGGGTAAGGCATTTTATTCTATTTTTGTACACCAAACACTGTATATATCTTGAAGAACCTTTGCCTTCTGTTTGGATCATGGTTTCTTTATGAACATATTCACTGAACATGTTGCTACCCTATTACAGATCTTACCAACGTCATCAATAGTCAAGGCAGACATCTTTCTTCAAGAAATCTGCCCAAAAGGAAAAACACTGAAATTGGTAAGTAATGCTTATGTGCAATGTCGTTAACTTTAGTTCATTTATTGCATCGGCACTATTAGGTAGAGTTGAGCTACGAACGCGAAAATAAACTGGTACGGCGAATGTAGGGGTGAGGTACTCCATCGGCTTCGTTGCGCTGGTTTTTTTTACCACCACCGACTGTGTTGCCAATTTAAATTTCGTTTCGGAATCAAAGCACGGTGCATGTTTTTTTTATCAAAATGTCAACATGAGCTAGGAAAGGAAGAGCGGAAGAGCCAGGGCTCTGCGAACATACGCGGATTGTGTAGCCTTTATATATATATGGCTTCGCGTGGCATTATATTGGTGTTACGTACGTAGTATACCAGGTAAGTGTTGCCCTCGTTGCCCACAGGGTGCGAGTTGGTGGGTGGCTCGGTCTACTCGGTGGTGCTAACAGTAGGCGTAGGGCTAGGCAAGTTTACGAGACATACTCTCGCGTGGACCTAGTGATAGAACCCTTTCTTCGTTTTGAGAGGACATGTCGATATCGAATTTCGCGAATTTTCTTCTCGAATTTCTGGGCAACAATGCAGTTTACCGGGCGCAGCCCGAGCTCTACCATCCGCTCAATTACCGCGCTATAGTGCCACGCTGTCTCGTTATACCGTTACCGTGCCTCACGCTCTGGTGACTCTCGCTTTACGATCCAACACCCGTTTTTCGGTCATTAGGGTTAGCTGGCTTTGGGCAAGGGTTAGCCATAAATTCTTACTTTTTCAAGCGTTAATTCAGTTAATCCCATTGGTTGTTGACATAAACAATTGCGGTTGTGGTTTCAAGAAAAGATGAATGGGAGAGCGGGCCGTGACGTCACACTCATGCGCAATTCATTGTTTACTCAATTACACATGCATGTCAATGGTGATTCTAATGACCTGTTAAACGAGCACTGAATACATGTGATAGCGCCTGTGGTCCAGTGGTAGAGCGTCGGCTAATTAACGCATTAATGAGCAGAGCCGGTGAGTCGGCGAAGCGCGTTCGAGCCCCAACAGCGCTAATTGGATCAGAAAAAGTGCGCCCGTAAAGTGCACTAATCCCGATGTAATGGGTCATTATTGTGTAATTGGTATCCAAGCACAACATGTCTTTATGTGATATTTCCTTTCCAGTTTCAAGTGAATTCTATGCTTGTCTTAAGAGGCGACTAACACTATTGCGTGGTCAGGCTCGCTGACCTGCATTGATGCTCATGATATGAATCTCTGAAATGTCTGGCCCAGATTCGATTAATTACAGACCGCTGTCATATAGGTGGAATATTGCTGAATGCGGCAGTAAACAACAAACCAAACCAAAACATATATTACTGTCTACATATCCTATTGGTAGGGAGTTATGTAGATTCTTATTTAGAAACCAGTGGAGCTTAGTATCCACAGTGCACATATATGGGTTACGTTATTGTAGTTTGTCCAATATTATTAGTAAAGGATGTAATGGGATTTGTTTTGTAATGGGATCGTGCCATGTATGTCAAGACATTTGTTTGTACATTATATTTGTAACACACGTTTAGAAGGATAGAAATTTATCTTTGTCTTAGCTAAATGCTTGGTACGGGCCTGTTGAATAAATTCAATGTTTGTCTGGTAGGCTTGTCTAATTTTGGAGGAATTGTGGATTTTTGAGAATGGAAATTGGCAATTGTTATATTTGTATGACTATCCAATTACATTAAAGTTGCAATTTATGTATTGTTCAAATATTTATTTGACATTTCCAGGACCAGTAAAGCTGCAAGACTTTGTCGGCCAGTCAAAAGTGGACGCTGCAATCCAAGGTATCACTTTTAGTGCTATCATGAAGATAGTTATCAATGAAATTATTGGTATATGACTCCACATACAATATCATGTATAGCATATTTATTCCTTGAGGCTATACTATACAATTCAAAGTAAATGCTGAAGTCACATGTGGTTAATATTTTTATAATTTATGTAAATTGTTTTAAACCACATTACAATTGTTTTGAAGCAAGTATTTCATGTCCAGTTGCTCATCCTAAGTATAAAAGAATCTGCACACAATGTTGAAACTTTTTAAATGCACAAGATTGATTTTTCTCTCAATATTCAAATCAATATTCTGTAAAAATAAACAAGTTTTGTACAATTTGATTTGTTTTCATAGTGATAATACTGATGTAAATACTATTTTCAGGTGAAACTTTCTTTCTCATGGTGGGGCACACGCATGAAGATTTGGATCAACTGTTAAGTGTTTAGTGCAAGGGAACTTAGACAGAAGCCTGCAACAACCCGCGATGCCCTCCTTCAAGATTGGGGACATCCGGACACCCACCACCAAGCTATCAGACTTCAAGTCCTTCATGCCTGCCCCAAGGGAAGCGACAACCCTCCCAACTAAAGTTCAAGAGGCAATAGAGAAGAACAATGATAAACTGCAAAAACAATCAAAGGTAATTTCAATAAATATTGCATTTCTTTTGAAATATGTATTGTGATGTGTAATATTAGGGTTAGTCAGCGTTACTTAGAATATGTGTAATGTGGGCAGAGAAACAACCCAACTTCATGAGGTTACTATTTTTGCTTTTATTGTATAGATGCACTGTGATTTTAATTATGTTCTCATATTCTTTACATTTTTTTTCTTTACTTTCAGATCACTCTGACAAAGCACTGAAGACAAGCGTCAGTATCAGAACAATAAAGAAGGAGCAGCAAGTTTTGCTGAAATGAACATATTTTTTGTCTAAGCTATGTGGCTGAGATATTGCCGAGGATTGCATTGCAGGAGTTTTGTAGTTTGTATGTTTTTGTTTCTTAGTAAAGCTGTGTATTTAGAATTGTATATATATATAAGATATATATAAGATGAGATGTGCACAATGAAATTTATGAAACAATATATGCAGTTATATTGTAAAATCTTGGTTGTGTTCTATTTTTTTCCATATCTGAAGTTAACCTACTTTCAGAGTACCGTATATCACATGTAGGTTGTTTCTTTGAATTCCAACTGGGGATTATATATTTGGTTGGCCCGATGGAATAATTATGAAATCACATTCACCTTTAATGTTGTACACTTCAAAGTCGTCAAAAGGCCATTGAAGATGGTCACTGAAATTCTCATAATAATTTAGATAATTATAGGGTAAGCTCAAGGTTCAATGATTTGCATCTGTCTAGTATACCAAGGTATGAGGCCAACATGTTGTTCCATTGTTTAATTCGAGTGACGTCAACTTTTCTTGATAAATTTGGTAAATATAATACCAAGATAAATATCTTCAATTGTTGAATTCAATTCAAACTATCCAATGATTGAATCTTATTTCTCCTGAATTAAAATAATTCTGCTAAATATTACTGCAGAAAAAAATTCGGCCAGAAATTTCTGTAGAAAAAAAAAAATTCGGCCAGAAATTTCTGTAGAAAAAAAAAATACTGCCAGAAATTTCTGCAGAAAAAAAAAATTCGGCCAGAAATTTCTGCAGTAATGCATTTTCTGAGCCAATTTTTGAGCTTATGAACATGTGAACACACTGGGACACACATTATTTGGATTCGACTCCTCGAGAGCTTTCCAATGATATAAAACATGTTTTTGTAGCTCGCTTCCTTCTGTGTGGTCAAGTTCGGACTCCTGGCCATTCCTAAGTTGTCCCGCCCTGCCTTACTGTATATACAGCGCTTTATTCCCAGTGTGAAAACAAAACAAAGTATATTATTCATATTATACAATCTCTTAGAATGTGCTATGTGGACACTGTGTTCAGTAAGGCGTAGGCAGGTCGGTGGCCACACTGGAAGGTTACCAGTTGTTTACAGATACAATACATGAAACACCATCATACAATGACTTTGCACATTCTAAGAACCGGCCTTTGATGCTAAGCTTGGATAGGTTTATCCATAAACAATTACGGTTACCGCGATCAACAGTATTCCAGTGATATCAAAACTTTTTTTAGCATTGATAAAATAAACAAATGTACGCTTTTTCCGATTATTTTGACAGATATAACTGCTAAAATGTGCTCAACAGTGCTGCGTTTTTTA